TTTTTTTTTTTTTTTATTTTTTTTTTTTCAAAACGATAGATAATATTATAAATCAAAATGTACAAATGTGCGAATACACAGTAGCCAACAGCTGAATATACAGCTGCCAACAGCTGAAAAAGTGGGAGGACATGTCAGAAGACTGCCTAGAATCCTGGTTAGTAACGCTAGAATAAAAACACTCGCAACTAAACTAACCAGCAACACAAACAACTAAAACAATGACAAGGACACCAACAGAGTAATGCCCGAGTGTCGGATCCCAACAGGATAATAAATTTGACGCCCGGGCTCACAGAGGCAAATGGTCCAAACCAAAAACACAAACCTAGACACAAATATAAACACAAACACAGATACACAACAAACACAGAACAACGACAACTTAGAAAATAAAAACTAACAGCCCTCTCCCGGCAAACGAACAGACCCCAACAGCAGTGAACGATCAACACAAAAAGGATCCCCAGCCCGAGAACCCGCTATCGAAATTGCGCAACCGCCTATACAATAGCCGAATCCGAGCCACAAACCCTTTCCAGAATCGACCCACCTCCGACCGAGAGAAAATCGATCAACCCCCAACAGCCCCTCCTGAACCCACCGCCTATAATCTTTTGTTTAGATTATAAGTTTCCTGTTTTTAAATAACATTCGTTTGGTAGGACGAATTTTTTTAAAAAGCTCGAGTTTATCTCATAAGTTTCTTTGGTAGCTTATCAAATAAGCTCATTGAAATTTTTAGTTTAACTAGCTTATCATCTAATTTTATCAAACACTTAGGCTGTGTTTGGTAGACAAATAAGCTAGCTTATAGTTTATTTGGTTAGCTTATAAGCTCCCTGTATTCAAATAAGACTCGTTTGGTAGGACGAGCTTTTTTAAAAAGCTCGAGCTTATTTGAAAAGCTTCTTTAGGTAGCTTTTCAAATAAGCTAGTTGAATTTTTTATTCCAGCTAGCTTATCAGCTAATTTTACCAAACACTTTTATCATATAAGCTAGCTTTTCAGCTATAGGTCATAAGCTATAAGCTATAAGCTAGCTTATCAACTATCAGCTAGCTTATCAGCTAATTTTACCAAATATAACCTTAGATGCTATAAGTTAACTTATCAACTAGTTTTATCGAACGTAGTCTAATGCAAGTTGATATAGTTACATTATTTAATAGAAATAAGTAAGTAGTTTACATAATTTTTACATAAAAGAGTGAAAGAATGTAAATATAAGAAAGGGGATTAATATTAAATATTTAAGAAAAAGAAACTTAAAAGGGATTTTAGAGTACAGAAGAGTTCTAAACTTTTTAGACAGTTAAGAACTCATATCCAAAAATATGTGTATTATTATAATATACATATATGGAGAGAGAGGGGGAGATATGGAGAGAGGGAGAGGAAGATATATGTGCGCAAAGATGTACATTTATCGCAATCGCAATCCTGTGTAGTTTATTTGGATTTTCCTTCTTCTTTCCCGCCGTTATCTCCTTTTGTCGTTTAGATTTCTCAATTATAAAACAAAAACTAAAATTAAACGCCACCCCCATTACTCAATTATTACACTTTGATTATATGAGCACGAAATAATAATAACAATAATAATAATAATAATAAAAAAAAAAAAACATTTCCGCCCCAATATTTGCGAAAAAAGAAATATTACATTATTTCCATAATCAATCCTGGTTTAATGGCTCATAATTAGTCCCTCCGTCTTCTCTTAGGGTTCTTTTCCTTTTCAGCTCCACAAAAGAAACAAAACAAATCTCCTCTCAAAATTGACCAAGATTCGTTCTTTTCCTGATCTTTTGTTCTTCCTTAACCTCCTCCTTCCCGAAGATGGAACATGAAGATCGAGAAAATTCCGATGACTGCCCATCATCCACTGACCGAAAAAATAGCCAAGAAAATAATATTCAAGAACAACATGACATAAGCGGAGAAGAAGAAGAAGAAGAAGAAGATCGAGACGTTATTATTAATTCCCCGGAATCAATGATGTTTATTCCGACAGCTCCAGAGAGGAGGCATCAGTGTAAGGAGTGCGAGAAGATTTTCAGCTCGGGCAAGGCCTTAGGCGGGCACATGAGCAGCGCCCATGTCCAGGCTAGCAAGGATTACTCTTTCAAAAAGCTCAAATCCAAGATCACGGGCTCCCGGGCCCACCTCAGCTCGTCTGAGGACAACGCGTGCCCCATATGCGGAAAGCTCTTCCACTCCCAGAAGTCTCTGTACGGCCACATGCGTTGCCACCCGGATCGCGAGTGGAGAGGAATGGAACCCCCGAGATTGGGAACGACTAGTCAAGATCAAGATTTTGGGGATTCTTTGAGGGGTTGGCCTGTGAAGGCTAGACGAGGCCGCAGGCCCCAGCATCCTCAGCCTCAGCCTCTTCTTGAGGATGACGAGGAAGCTGTTTGGGCTGGGCACCAACTTCTCAGCTTGCTCAAACCAAATCTTGGGCCCGGACAAGAAAACTCGGCCCACGATTCCAAGAGGCAGAAAATTACAATCCCCCAGGTGAAAATCAGGAACACCAATAGCACTGGCAAGGGGAAAGTAGTGAAGATGGATGATAGTAAGGGTAAGGGTAAGGGTAAAGGTAAGACTGATTTTCTACCTGGGCCAGAAAATCCAGAATCCGAAAATGGCCTCTTTTTCACGGCCATTGGTGTGCTGGTTAACGGAACGCGGGAAAATCATCCCAATCAGAGCCTTGATGGTTTGTGTGATTCGAGTGCAGATAAATATGCATGCAGCATGTGCAGTAAAGTGTTTCCTACCCACCAGGCGCTGGGTGGACACAAATCGAGCCACAACAAGTTCAAGATTAGCATTGTGAATGCGGTCGATCAATTTAGTACTTCTGAGGATAAGAATCTGAACCGTAAAGCGAGAAACAATGGTGATGAGCAGAAAGAAGGTCAACTCAAGTGTGATGATAATGGTGGCAATAGTAAAGACAAAGGGAAAGTTGTGTGGGGTTTTGATCTCAACATGATTCCTGATGATGAGGATGTTGAAGATTTGTCTGGTGAAAAATATGAGGTTTAGTATTCTAAAATTTAATTCTTTTGTTTTTATTCGGAAGTGTTTTAGGGTTATATGGCTTTGGGTTTCGGGGAAATTAGCTGATGATGAGTGGTGGTGAGGTGCCTGGATTTTTGAGCTTTTAGTGGCTTATTTTTTTTTTCTTTTCTTTTTTTTTTGTTTGTTTTGGGTTTTGGTGCTTTGATGGTTAATTAGGTAAATTTCAAAATAACAATTGAATAGTTCAGAGTTTGAACTGTGTAGGTTGTGTGATCCTTCGGAGTTGGTGTGTGTGGAAATATGAGTCATAATAAGCTTTAGTTAACCATATGGATGTGAAGCTAGAGTTTGAACTGAGTAATTTGTGTGATCCTGTGTGTGGAAAATTTCCTTAACATATAAGGATGTGAAAGCTCTGTATCTGGTCCTACCTCTTGGTGCACTCGCCTTTCCGTGACACTGACTTTTTTGCCTGGACTCTTCCCGGACCAGGAGATGATATAGTTATGTTACTGGCAGTTATTGNTCATAGACATGATTGTAAACGTTTTAGAGCATCTCCAATGCTAAAATATTGTTGTGTTAAATTACATTTTACATCAACACATACTTCAATATACAATATCATCACAAATGTTGTGATGATGTGGATATAATTAATGTCTACCGATATGAATGTGGTTTATACACATTCTCCTCTACAATGAAGATGAGAGAGAGGATTATTCTTACTAATTCAAAGCTATCTAATTATTTAATGAATTTTATTTCTTCTTATTTAAATTTTTAATAATTGACAAGTAAATAATATTGTAGTTAGACTATATTGTGCATTTGAGAGAATTTTTTAATCTCATAGTTGTAAACTTATTCTTAGTTCATATCCATTTAGTTTATTGACATTTTTCAGAATTTAATCATTCTATTTAAAACTATATCATGCTCTTAGTATGATTTTATTCGCAATGATATTAGTATGTTTTTTCCCTTCCTATGCATACACTATATACGGGTCGGGTTGGACTAGACTCAAATTCGAAGCTCTTCTTAAAATATAAAAATCGTTGATTTTTTCCAGGCCTGGTCGGCGAGTCATATGTTCAAAATTGGCCACCATGATCCAGCCCCGGGCCGGCCTGGCGAGTCATATGTTCAAAATTGCCCACCATGATAAAATTCGGGTCGAGCCCAGAGGCCCCAGACAGGGTATATCGTGCGTAAATTACTTATTGCATGNTAATAATAATAATAATAATAATAATAATAATAATAATAATAATAATAATAATAATTCTGCTTATTAAAAATTTCAATGATGATAAATCATAAAAAGAAGTAAATTAGATCATATACAATATAAACAAACATGTATATTCGGTACTTGCTTTTTTTATTTATCATGGGTGAGACTTATTCCAGATTGATAGCGTCTCCAAAATAAGCTCATGAAGGATTTTTATAATTATTGTTCAGTTTAGCTATCTCACATTCTTATTTCCCATTTGTTACTACTAGACACTTGAATAAGAACTAGTGAGTATCCCGTGCGATGCACGGCGGGCTTGTTTATTATAATCTTTTTTACAACTTTATTTTAACAATATATTAGCTTTGCTAACCGTTTATATCAATAAAAGAAAAATTGCACCATTCGTCCACTAATTATACCCGAATTGCACTTTCGTCCATTAATTATTATTTTTTTACTTTTGGTACACTATCATTTTGTTTTTGACAATTTTCATCCAAATCAAGGTTCCGGTGCTCATTTTTGCCGGAAAGCTGATGTGGCGCCCAGTCGGATTGTGCGCCACATCAGCTTTTTCGGCAAAAATGAGCACCGGAACCTTGATGTGGACGAAAATTGCCAAAAACAAAATGATAGTGTACCAAAAGTAAAAAAATAATAATTAAAGAACGAAAGTGCAATTCGGGTATAATTAGTGGACGGATGGTGCAATTTTTCCTATCAATAAATAATATTTTAACATCTATACGTATTTTTTGATATAGAAAAAATAATAATTTTACTTATTTTTGTTCATCATAATACTCAACTATTATTTTTTAAAATTTATTATCGTATAATGTCATTATTATTATTATTATTATTTATAACACTTACAAAAGTACTATATATATTGATAAATATTTAATATACATTAATATTATTTAGTTATGTAATTAATTTAAAAATATTTAAAAAAATTCAAAATAAATATTGTTCCATATATGCATTCTATACATTTTTAGAATTATACATACATATATTTATATATATATATATGTGTGTGTGTGTGTGTGTGTGTGTGTGTGTGTGTGTGTGTGTGATTTTATGGCATTGTTAAATTTGTTAAGCCTAAAAATGAAATTAGTATTTAGGTTGTATTATCGGTGAATTTTGTGATAGATGTTTTTAATTAGAGTATTGATTTTATAATAGATGATATTAACTCAAAATATTGCATTTGATTTATTTCAAATCAATTAACCATTTGTGATTTATGAGTGGAATGGTTTTGGTAAAAATCATGATGTAGAGTGTAAATTAATTAATTGAATATATGTTAGCATTATATTTTAGATAAAACATATTGGCACGATATTCTGCTCCAAATAGCTTGTTCTGCAATTAATATAGCATTATGATTAAAATATTAAAAAAAAATTGCAACTAAAAGATTGACTTATTGTTTATTTATATTTTAAAAAATGGGTTGAACACGTATATATTTTTAATCAAATACTATTTTATACATGAACCACCGATACTGGTTCATTGATGAAATATGCAATCAGTCATACATTTATTTAGTTTTGAATTTAAACGTTTATTTTGTTTATGCAATTATATCATTGAAAATATTGTTGGGATATTATAAAATCTAATGATATATAGTCTAATAGATTATACCCATAGTATTGATTTATACAAAGGACGATCCAACGGTTCGTTGAAATATCCTATCTAACATAGTAACATAAACTATTTAGTTTAGAATATAAATGGCACATTTTTCTCTGTGCAATTATATAATTGAAAATACTTTTGGGATTTTTAAAAATCTGAACGATATTTAATATATTTTTTCCATAGTGGTTATTTATACAAAGGGAAGAAAATTGGTAGATGATTTTTATAAGCACTGGAATAGTATTTTCGAATCTATTAAAATAAATAAGAAATCTAAATATTAGTCATAATTTATATTAGAAAATTAAATTCAACTAATATTCGACAATATATTAAAGTTTGATGATTGAATTAATACTTTCAAAAATATATTAATTTTTTGAAGCCATGTGTTTGTATATATTGAATTTAAATTTTCTGAAACAAATCGTGTGTTCGTTTAATTATGTTGTTATCCTAAGGAGATTGGATTCTTAAACTATATATAATCCTCAAGTTAATTTAAAGAATTCTTATATTATAGGATTCTTTCTAAATAATAATAATAAAAAAAATATTTTTTAAGATATATATTGAATGCTACATTTATGATATAAAATGTGTTTGATTAATTATGTCCTTATATAAGGAGATTGGATTCTTAAACTATATAGAATCCTCATATTTTATGATTATTTTATATTATAAAATTTGAATGACAAATCTTTTACAAAATAGAATCCTCATATTTTATTTTGATTTCTTAGTGATAATGTATTTTTCAGATTTAAAAGGTCATATCAAAGAACTACACGACCCAGAAAACAATGACAGGCTTGAACCACTAATTGTCTGAATTAATTTGATTTATTTTTCTGTTCAAAAAATAAAAACATATATAGAAATTTTTTGATATTGTATAAACGTTATAGTTTAATTTTGGTTCATATTATTGTATGCAATTATTGGTTTAGAGTTTTGTAAGTAAATTTCGTGTATGTATATATATTCAAGAGATGTTTAATTGGATATGAAAGTGATTTTGAATAATTGCCAAAAATTACTTAAAATCGGATGTCTAATTGGATATGAAAGTGTAAGTTTTGAAGATTGGCAGTAAATCGACGAACCTTCATCTGATCCCAGGTTCAGACGACTCAAGAATATTTAAGGGAAGTTGACTTTATTACTTGGACTAATTGTTAAATTACTTTAGTTTATTGGTTAATATTTATATGTGTTTTATTATGGCAGGTCTAATGGAAGGCAATTGGGATTTACCTTCTATATGCGTTCACCTTCCATATGCGCTCACTTTCCATATGCACTCACATTCCATATGTGCAAGATTCGGATCACGCGACCTGGACCTTCCAAAAGAAGACCTGACTTGGCAGCGAAGTTTGATGAAAAACTTACCATATGTGTTTGGAGATAAAAGGACGACGACATGATCATTGAGGAGTATCTTTTTCATCTTTTTTTTTTTTTTTTTTTTTTTNTCATCTCATGGAATTTTTTTTTTTTTTTTTTTTTTTTTTGAGTTTTGATTTGGTGTGATTTGTAATTTTATTTTGATATTGAGTGAAGAGATCGAAAGTGTGCAGCTTTATTGTGAGAGAAAATACAGAGTGTACGGAGGTTCATTCTGTTTTAGTTTGAGGGATTCAAACGATAAAAACCACAAGAGATTTGTGGTCGGATAAGTAATAGTGCAGAAGTAGAGTGTAGAGGGAGTCTATACTGTAAACCCTTGAAGAATGTTTATGTTGTTTGCATTAATGAAAGAGATCCGAAGGGAGTGTGGGACGCTCTCCTGAAGGCTCAAGTTTTAGTTATACTGCTTCCGAAAATTGTTTTAATCTACTTTAAATTCTGTTTAGTTTGATTGTGTGCAACTCTGGGTACTTGGGATACAAGTATCAAACTTCAATTGGCACCAGAGCGGGTTTTTGTATATATGCGAAAGATCTAAGGACGTGTGGATTGGGTAATCATGAATCAGGAAAGTGAATCGATGTCTAGGCCTCCACAATTGGATGGATCAAACTACTCCTACTAGAAGTCTATGATGACGATGTTTCTGAGATCTCTGGGAAAAGGTGCTTGGGAGAGTGTTGAAAATGGCTGG